ACAACAAATTAGACCGCGTCAATGGGTCTAAATTGGACTGTAATAGGTAGGCATAAATATACTTGACACTTGGCAGCTAAACATTTATTTTTTAAATACAGGGTGTCCCACAACAAATTAGACCGCGTCAATGGGTCTAAATTGGACTGTAATAGGTAGGCATAAAAATACTTGGCACTTGGCAGCTAAACATTTATTTTTTAAATACAGGGTGTCTCACAACAAATTAGACCGCGTCAATGGGTCTAAATTACGATTTGGGGGACAAATCAGAAATTTAAGAAGAAAGAATAATTTTGAACAATTTAATAAGAATATTAGAAATTTTTTCTGCAGAAAATGCTAGGTTTTTCATGTATTTTGTGCGCTAAAGATTGGAGATAATCTAATATGATATGGGGAATATGGGACACTCCGTATAATTTAAACAAAATTTTTAAAAAAGCAGTGAATTTATTTTCTGTTTTCAGCCGATTATACTCGTACATCTGTTTCTCTCTAATTCCGATTGTAGATAAGGGGAAAATGCATTATGACGCATATTCATTATTCATGCTTTTCTTTCTCCCTATATTACGCATATTGAATGCAATGACAGCAAACCTGGATAGCTAGCTAACACATTCTAAAATTACGCAAGAGGTGTCTATGGACTTTTAAAATGTATATTTGTCATATTTTCTGCAATTTTTAGTTTGGCTCATTTTTTTGGCTTAAGAACTGGATTTAGCAATACTTATTTGGATTTTAAAAATAATTTTGAATATTAAAAGTAGGTTTGAATATTTCAAAGAGGAACTGATTATTTGCCTCAAAATCTTATGTCATAAACCGTTTATCGTTAACGCAAAAAATGTTGTTTTTTCAATCATAATTTTTCTAGAATTAACATCATTAGGTTGCAAAGATAGAAAGTGATTTATTTCATCAAAATAAAATTAAATAACTTTTCAAATGTGCAAACTCGTCCCTGTCCCGTTCATGAAGTTAAAATTTTTTTACATTTTATAATTGTTTGATTTAGTTCCGGTGTTCCTGGGTGCTTGCAACATCCTGGTTTCTGGAAATCTTCTCTACAATCTGTATCTTAGATCTAGGAAATATATTCATACAGTCATTCAGTGAGAACCAAATAATTTTGGAATAGGAAGACGACATATTGCAATACTAAAGTTTTGCAAGGCAAATAGTTT